ACAAATCTGATATACTGAAAATTATTTCTTAACAATATTGTTAAGGCAAGACACCAAAACGAGGACCCACTTATATAGTCCAACATCGAAGTTAAGCTGCAAACAAAATACGTGTTTGTGCCAAATTTAAGCATTGTATCTCGATTACACAACAATCTACACTCAATAAGATAAGGATTGTTAAATTTGTTGATGCACTATTTGGTGCACATATAGCCACATATTTATTTTAACAATCATGAAACAATCAATTGTATTTTGTATTGATTTATTTTGTTCGTACATACAATTATTTCGTAGATTTATTTTTCTTTGGAATTTTCCTTACACTAGTTATGATTGTTATCTAATTTAATATTTTTAATTAAAATTCATTTCACAACAAATATTTTTGTAGAAGAATTGATTGCATTTCTTATAACAAAAAAATGCAAGAGAGTTATATGAGTGTTTTTATGTACCTGTATGAAATGCAATTTTAGATACCATTTTTCAATTAACAAACAGTAAGGAAAGTAGTAAAGTCGGACTGGTATATTCTACATATGTATCCTAAAAGACGTCGCCTTTTCGAAGGAACTTTGACGCGAAATTTAACGAACTTAAATATGTGATCTATATCTATATCTGCTGCACTGTTTATAATTTAATCTCAATCAAACACCCATTGATTATTTGGTGTAAAATAAACATGAGTAAGTCGAAATTATACATGAAAGCTATGCAATATCTATATCTGAACAGATTTCAAGGAAACTTACCAGAGATTAATTTATATTAACTTTATTACGTTGTGTCAATCGTCCTACCTAGGGGTCTTTAGTGCACCATTTACTTAAAAGCGGACGAAAATATATATAGAAGATTTTTGTAAATCTGATCCGATTTTCACAAAACTTTGCACACATCACTCTAGACGTAATTCAGTACGCTATACCAAAATCGAAAGATATAGGGGGCTTTGGTGCAGCTTTTACATAAAATGGGACGGAAATATATATGAGAGCTATATCTAAATCTGAACCGATTTTAACGAAACTTAGCACACGTCATTCTAGACTTAATTGAGTACGTTAGGCCGAAATTCTTGCACATCAAATGATTTTCAGGGACTTTGGTGCACTATTTACCTAAAATCGGGCAAATCTATCCGATTTTCACGAAACTTAATACATATAATTCTAGACTTTATTCAGTCACTATATCAAAATTCGTGCAAATCAAAAGATTTGCAGGGACTTTGATGGAACATTTACCTAAAATCGGGCGAAACTATATATGGGAGCTATTCATTTTCTTCACAGCTTTAATGTTTTCATCGGTTGTTGACGTTGACGTGCGGGCGGCCAGGACGAGCCTCGTAATTAACATTTTCTCGGTCTTCCTTATCCCTTTGTGGTTCAATGTTGAACACTGGCCACACAATGTTTTAGAACATACATATAGTACGCAACTAGTATATTTATTTTAAATATATGTACCAATTTGTGTATTCAGTCCAAATTATTAAAACCGTTTCATATTCGAATTGCAACCTCGAAATTATTATTAATTCCTGTAAAAAAAATTAATTTAAGGGACCCTTCCCAACATTCACGATTTTAATTTTTCAAGATTTTCAGTGGGCTGGTAAATGAATACAAATGATTGTTAAGGTTTGTAACTTTGCACATATATAATTGAAGATTTAAAAGAGAAGAAAAATAATTTACAAACAATTTTTGTTATTATTTTGTTGTTGTTTTTTGTAATTAAAGAAAAGTCCTTATTTTTTTATGGCGGGCATGATAACTCCTCACTGGAACATCGGAATCCGAAAATTCCAACGGTGTTAGAAAGAGTACATGTCTGGCTCTCGTATGAACTAGGATTATTGACTTCGCTCTAAAATTAACAAAATGGTGGGCCTTTGAAAAAATATTTTTGGAAAATCGCCGATTTTTTTACCAAAAACCAAGTTAAAAAATAAGGAAGATCTTCACCCATTGGCTTTATCCTAGTTCATACGAGAGCTATACACTCCCAGAGAAACGTTGCAAAATTTGGAACCGATTGGATTATTAGTTTTTGAGTTATCGTGCCCGCCATTCGCAAAAAAATGTTTAAAGAAAAAAGTTTAAAGTTTGAGAAGCCCATCAGCCGTCACTTGATGCTGACACAATAAATTTTGTAGAGACATTCTTTAATCAGTGTAGATTCAAATTATATCAACAAAAAGTAATTTTTTGTTGATAGTTGTACAAAATCTGTACATAAAACAAGTTCTCTGGCAATACAAATGGGTCTCAAAGGTTTAAACACTTTTTATAGCCAACTCAGTTGGGGCTACCCTGAAACTTAGGTCCATATTAATGATTTTTGGTACGAATATGTGTCATTCAGGGTGTCGATGATAGAGGCCAAGCAACAGCTCTGCTTGACTTTAACATGACAAAGCCCACTTTCATCTCAATGGTGGACACTGACCTCCCGCGGTCACCTGGGGTACCTACTTCATCATCCGTTGAAATAGTGCGCTGATATGTGACGCGAATTCACCCATAAGAACTTGGAAACGCCCTCGGTTTTTCCACACTCGTAAAACCCCTCCTACCATGAAAAAACAACGAAAAAGAATACCAAATCCTCCCAAAGTTGACGATCTCCTCAAAGGTATAAAGAACCACGATCTGCGATTCTGCAATGTGCGCACGTTGTACAGAACAGACGCAGTCATCGCTTTGGCGGATGTACGCAAGAAATACAAATCCGATATTATTGCCTTACAGGAAATGCGGTGGAGAGGAACTGTCGCAAGTAAATCAGATGAAACGAGATTTGACTATGGCTACGGATTTATGGTTAATAGGAGAATAGAAGATCTCGTCACCAGATTCAGTGCAGTAGATGAGCGAATTTCTATAATCCGTATAAAACCGAAGTTCTTCTACATCAGTCTTATTTGCGCCCATGCTCCGACGTAAGACAGAAATGAACAGAACAAAGACATTTTTTGCGAGCATCTAGAAACAGCATAAGACCACTGCCCTGGCCAAGATACTAAAATTCTGCTAAGAGATTTGAATGCAAAAATCGGAAGGGAACATAATTTTGGCCCTACCGTCGGAAAATTCAGCCTCCATAAATAAACATTCGACAAAGGCATGAGGTTGATTGACTTTTGGAAGGAGATTTTTGGAAAGCTTCTGGTATCAAATAGGGGCGGTGAGGAAGATACCCCAGAACCAATAAGATGAGACAGTAGAGATTCTATACCACCTAACCAAGATGAGGTCTCAGTAGCAATTCATCGGCTAAAGAACAATAAAACAACAGGATTGATTACCATGGATTGATTGCCAAAAGAAATATTCAAGCCTGGTGGTCAGATGTTGGTCAGGAGCATGCCCAATGATTAGAATCCTGTGTCCCGTGCACAAAGAAGACAAGACGATATGTGCCATCTATAGGGGAGTAAGTCTCCTTCCCATCGCATATGGGGTTTTATCCAGCGTGTTGTGTGAACGACTGAAGCCAATGGTCAGTGACATTATTGGACCATACCAATGCCGCTTCAAACCTGGCAAATCGATCATTGATCAGATTTTCACTCTGCGCTAAATCCTGGAAAAGACCCACGAAAAACACATCGACATATACCACCTATACGTCGAATATAAAGCCGCATTCGACAGTTCTATCCGTTCAGAGGTGTGTAAAACCATGCCTGTGTTCGGCGGTCCTGCAAAGTCAGTAGTTAAAGTGCCTCTCGGAGCCCTTCAATACCTAACAAGGATTCAGACAAGGTGACTGTTTGTCGTGTGACCTGTTTAACATCCTGCTGGAAAAGGTCATACGAGATGCAAATGTCAACCGAAATGACACTTTGTACACCAAACAGCACATGTTACTCGCTTACGTCTACAACATCGACATAATGGGTCGAACATTGCGAGCAGTAATAGCTACATTTGAAAGAATTGAGAATGTGTCTGCTTAAGTGGGATTGACAGTAAATGGCTAGAAGACCAAGTTGATGGTAACAACGCGCAAGACGCCCAGTCGACTCGGACCAATTGTGGAATTTGAAAACTATAGCTTCGAGGTAGTGAACGATTTTATATAACTCGGTACCGTCATAATAACAGCCTTGAAATCTGGAGGAGAATAGTGTTGGCCATCGGATGACACCGCTTTTCGATTGTTTGAAAGAAACATTCTTCGGAATATCTATGGGCCGATCTACATCGACGGAGAATATCGTCATCGAATGAACAATTCGATCCATCTATTCCCGGACATTGACATAGTCAGACGGATTAAGCTGCAGCGACTAGGTTGGCTAGGACATGTTGTGAGAATGGACGAGGATTCCCCCACACAAAAGGCATATAAAAGCGAGCCAAATGATGGTTCAAGCAGAAGGGGAAGACCACGAATTAGATGTAATGATCAAGTAGAAGACAAGATCTCAGAACATGGTCTTTCAAATTAGATGAGGGCTCCAGGACCTCCCTCTGGCTACGTCCTTGCTAGCAATGTCTGCAAAATTTCTATATTATATAGTGTTATCTATCGTTATTTCAATAGACGGACTTCCGTATATCGACATAGAATTTTATTCGCATCAAGAATATATATTTTGTGGAGTCTCCGGTGAATATTTCGAGGTGTTGCAAATGGAATGTACAAATTTAATATACACTCCAACTCATGGTAGGTGGTATAAAAACTTACACGATTATTTTTATTTCCATGTCTTCTTTGTAAACCGTTTAAATTCACAAACCACATCCTAGGCCAAGTAAAAATAGTTTCCCCTTATGTTATAGTTATATTTATTATGAAAAGTAATTTTCATTCTATCTTGTTTCCGTTTGATAATTCAAACAAATGCACAAGATATAACAGCTTTGTTTACCCTTTACCCAATTTATTTCCCCCTCTTATGTTATTACACAATTTTTTCTTCAACAAAGTAGGGGTTACATGTTAGTATATATTTATATAACTTAACTTACCGTTTTGTTGCCTAAATGTTTAACTCTGCATCCCAAGTAGGCAGATTTTCCTACGAGTGATGTGATGTTCTTTGGCATCGTCACATCAAAATAGGGATCATTCCACCGGTGACCGTGTGAATAGTGTCCCGGTGGTAAATGAGTTGGCTTCTGATCCACATTATTGTGATTCGGATTACCGGACAGTCTTTGGTAGCACATCGATAGACCTGTAAATATGATATTAAAATTTAATATTGAAATTGATACAATATGTGCAATAAGAACTTTATTCTAACGCATAAAAATATTTGTAGTTACTATATATTCTGATTTTTATACCCTTCACCACACTGTGGTCCAGGGTATTATGTCTTTGTGCATATGTTTGTAACAGGCAAAAATAATCGAGATAGACCCATGGTTCCTTTTGAGAATATGCATAGAATCACTTTCTACGTCGATTTATGCATGTCCGTCCGTCCGTCTGTCCATGTTAAATTGTAAACAAAGTACAGGTCGCATTTATGATCCTTTCAGTATCGTTGCAACGAAAAGGATTTACACAATTTTTGTCAAGGATATATTACAACCATCATATTATCAACAAATCATATTACCTTTCTCAGTTTGTAACCAAAATAGTACATTTCATTTACTTAAAATGATACTGTTCGAATTTGAAAGAAAACCCCCAAAATTCTAGCCATTGGCCATTGCGTAGAACAACATTGTCCCTTCTAACTAAGCTTTACAATATGTTCACTTCGAACTGTTAATATGTTCCAACGTTGTGTAATACAACATGTCGTTGCGGTAGTAGTGGGAGCTGCAATAATACCATTGTATACTGTCCACTGCTGACAATATGGAGACAACTTGTACTACGGCATAATAGGGATTTGTACCACCCGTCCTAATGTACAACCCAATTAGCAGTTTTATGTATCTGGCATGCGATGTGGGCTACTGGAAATCAATGGCATAAACATTGGTGGATAAAGTCCGACAATACTTACACTGTGTGTGGTTTTATTTACCCAACAAACCAAATTATAATTTTTTTTTTTTGACTGTACAATTTTGTACAAACTCTGATACGCTTCAGGAAGTGTAAGGAATTTGAAAAATGAGAACTACATTTTATTCCTAAAACAGGACACATTGTACAGAACAAGCGCAGTTTTCGCTTTGACGGGTGTACTCAAGAAGTACAAAGCCGATATTATTGCCTTACAGGAAATGCGAGGGAAAGGGACTGGCGTATGTATATCAGACGATTACGCACTATATTATAGCTGCCATGAAACGAGACATGAATTTGGCTGCGGATTTTTGGTTAACAGGTCTTTTATTAACAGGAAAATAAAAGATTTCGTCTCCAGATTCACTCCAGTAGATGAGCGAATTGCTATAATCCATATAAAATCGAAGTTCTTCTACATCAGTCACATTTGCTCCCATGCTCCGACCGAAGACAAAGATGACCAGACAAAAGACATATTTTATGAGCGCCTAGAAACAGCATATGAAACAGCTGACTTGACCATGACCTTAAAATTCAGCTAGGAGATTTTAATGCAAAAATCGGAAGGGAAAATGCTTTTGGCCACACCGTCAGAAAATTCAACCTCCATGAAGAAACATCGGACAACGGCATGAGGTTGTTTGACTTTGTTGCTGCGAAAAACATGGTAGTTAGCAGCACCAGATTCGAGCATCTCGATATACACAAGGCCACCTGGATTTCTCCCGATCGAACAACGAGAAAAGGCATTCATCTAGTGTTTTAGACATACGACCGATCCGAGGAGCGAATATCGATTTGGATCACTACCTTGTAGCAGCCAAGGTTTGCACTCGTCTTAATGCAGCAGCAAAGGTGCGATCTAACACAACACGGGAACTCGACGTCGAAAAACTACAAACACAACAGATAGCAGAATCCTACTTCGCTCAACTTACCCACCAGCTTAACGAAAGCACTCTTTGTCCCGATAATAATATAAAAGCACAATGGCAAAGAATTGTCCACTCCCTACAAACTGCATCAAGATGCTACTGATGTGAAAAACGCAGCGTAGAGGGCAACCTTGCAGACAGGAGCAACACGTAATATGATGGAGAATTATTGGCAAAAAAGGAGAGACGAGAAAATTATTTTCAGAAAAAAGAAGAAAGAACAAGAAAAACGTGAGCGGGAGTAAATCGAGATGAATAGGAGTCAGAACGAAGTCCGGAAATTTTATTGACGAGTAAAACACAAAACCGAATGCTTTGGTGCAATCACATCCTCCTGTAGGGATAAAGAAAGAAACCTGGTGACAGATACTGACAGCGTGTTGAGGATCTGGAAGGAGCATTTTGAAAAGCTTCTGGTATCCATTAGTAGCGGTGAAGAAGATATACCCCAGAACCTATGAGAGATGACCGTATAGAGTGTAACCAAGATGAGCTCAGAATATCAGTCAATCGGCTGAAGAATAATAAAACAGCAGGTGCCGATGGGTTACCAGTCGAACTATTCAAGATTGATGCTCAGATGCTGGACAGGAGCATGCACCGGCTGATTAGTACAATCTGGCTAGAAGAATGCATGGTCAATTATTGGAACCTCAGCATATAGATAGCCGAATTGAAATTTTCCGCAGAGTTGTTAATATTAAGCGGTACGCATGGACTTAAATATTGTTGTTATGTGTCTGGCCAATATGTACAAATTATTGTAATTTGGCATTTTAATTTTTCAAAAAAGGACAATTGTGTGTTGGGTGGCACTCAACATTTATGTATGCTGGGTATGTCAAAATAATCAAGATTGAGTGTGCTTCTTTTTTGTGTGTGTGCGTTTCTTCCCTGACTTCCTCTCTCTCTGTAATTTTTGTTTCTGCAAATTTATTCCAAATGGCACTCAACTTTTGTTAGCTCTTCTATGTTTGGATGCAGCAATGCATTGCAATCATCCAAGGCCCTTTCATAATATCTATGAAATTTTTGAATACGAAAAGGCAAATGAGAAAGCCATAAATCAATTGTTGCACAACAAATTTGTCCTGAAATGGTCAAAGTGTCAAAGTGAATGGATGTTGTATTCGAACAACGTAAGCACCGGATTCAGCAAATTTTATGAGAATTTCGTAGCATTTCCGATGTGCGGCTAACTAGCTAGGCAATGGACGCTGTGCAAGAACAAGGGGGGCAATGATATCCTCTCATCTCGATTGTGCGTTATATCACATTATGCATTTGTGACCATTATCCATTATCGTCCTTTCTGCATTCTTATATGATATATGCCGCAGAGAAGTATTCGATTCTGTGCTGAATGGAATTTAGTTCAGGAATTGGTTTTAATTCAATAGTTTCGTTGTCATGACAAATACAATTGTGTAAAATAAATTTATGCATTTTGAATTTACAAGTGGCATAACATTTGCAAGGATATACAAATGCTGTGCTCTTATCGTTTACTTGAGAGGTTTACTATATTATAACATAAATGCAATTACCGCATTATCTTAATTTTCCGCAAATATATTCATGTTGCTGTGACTTAATCCATATTTCATAAAATATATTCAATTGGCATGCGTAAAAATCGCTTGCCATGAATAACTTTAGTCTTCTTTATGTTTAGGAAATGGAAGAGTTTTAAGCGTTATCTTGTTAACATCATTAAGAAAAGTTCAACGGGCCGACTACATAAAAAACCCTTCAACACTTTTGGTAATTTTTGCCTGTAAGTCGGGTTCTAAACCAACTTATTGAAGAAAAATGTAACATGTGCGTGACGGATACAAAATTTTTCGATGGAGATACAACAGCATTATCAAACCAGTAAGGAAAGTAGTAAAGTCGGACGGGCCGACTATATGATACCCTTCACCACTATGGGTATATTAAACAGGACTATTAGCATGAAATTGGATGAAATAAAATATGTGATATTTATCTGAATGTGAATCTACGTAGATCTATCCATAAAGTATGTAAATCGACTTCAAACAAATATAAATAGGTCATCCGTTGGGCTATGTCTGTATTTCTAGAAAACGCAACTACATAATTCCATGCTCAATTTTGTACGTTGTGCAAAATTTGATGTCAAACTGACTAACATGAGGAGTTTGATGCCCAATTTACTTGAAATCGAGCGAAAATATATATGGAAGCTCTATCCAAATATTAAGCGATTTCAAACAAACTTGTCACAGGTTATACCAATTTCAGAACGTTTGTTCCTATTGATTCCTTGGTGCGCCAATTACTTAAAATCAATCTATATTAAAAGGGAGCTATATCTACATCTGGACCGGATCATAAATGCGACCTGTACTTTGTTTACAATTTAACATGGACAGACAGACGGACATGCATAAATCGACTTAGAAAGTGATTCTATGCATATTCTCAAAAGGAACCATGGGTCTATCTCGATTATTTTTTGCCTGTTGAAATAAAATATGTGATATTTATCTGAATGTGAATCTACGTAGATCTATCCATAAAGTATGTAAATCGGCTTCAAACAAATATAAATAGGTCATCCGTTGGGCTATGTCTGTACTTCTAGAAAACGCAACTACATAATTCCATGCTCAATTTTGTACGTTGTGCAAAATTTGATGTCAAACTGACTAACATGAGGAGTTTGATGCCCAATTTACTTGAAATCGAGCGAAAATATATATGGAAGCTCTATCCAAATATTAAGCGATTTCAAACAAACTTGTGGTTATACCAATTTCAGAACGTTTGTTCCTATTGATTCCTTGGTGCGCCAATTACTTAAAATCAATCTATATTAAAAGGGAGCTATATCTACATCTGGACCGGATCATAAATGCGACCTGTACTTTGTTTACAATTTAACATTGGCAGACAGACGGACGCGTGCATAAATCATTAGAAAGTGATTCTATGCATATTCACCATTTAACTGATTATTTTTGCCTGTTACAAACATATGCACAAAGACATAATACCCTGTACCACAGTGTGGTGAAGGGTATAAAAAAATACTCATATTAGAGTCTGTATAGAAACATATGTTAATTTTGTCACGCACGCGTTACATATTTTCATACAGTATTTAACTGCACTTACCAAGGGGTTCTGTTGTCTTGCCATAACAATATTGTTAAGGAATAATTTTCAGTATTCCAGACTTGTTTTTGAATTTCTATTCATACATCTATAAACAAACTTTCTGGGTAAGAAATATCTAT